TGTAAATTCAACTTTAAATCCTTTTTCTGTCAGTTTTCTAACTGACACTAAATTTCCATCCATCTCAGGTATGTACAAAACTTCGTTTAGTGTTACATCTATTATTTGATTTTTCCTTCCATCAAATACTTTGAGTTTTAGTGTAACCTTTCCTTCACCTTTAACTTTTACGCTTTTTCCATTTGCTATTTTTACACTTCCATTTAATTTATTGAAATCTGAAAACATATCTCTTTGACTACATATATGTTTTGTAGCTCCGGAATCGACGCACCAATCCTGAAGATTATCAGAAACAACTTTGTACCATTGATTGGACTTGACTAACTTAGCCAATCCATTTTTATTTTTCCATTCAATGAATTTTTTACATTGTGGTCTAATATGACCCTTTTCTTTGCAAAAATAGCATTCAGGATCTTCAGCGCGTTTAGCTGACCAGTATTGGGCATCTCTTTTTGTATTAGCTGATGATTTTCTATCATATTCTTCAATCAGCTTCATCTTAATTGTTTGCAAAGTTAGCTTGCTCTCTTCCCATGCTTCTAAAGCAGTTATCAACGCATCATAGTCTTCATTGAGGCTAGACAATATGATGTGAATAGCTGATTTATCATCTAAAGCAGCATCCATTTCAGATAATTCATCAAGATCTTGAAATATTTTGTCAAGATGATCTCGTATAGGTTCTCCCTTTTTTAGCTCATACTTATGCAATCTTTTCTTAATTCTAATTTGATTGGATAAGCTTGAGCGTTGGTGATATTCTTGCAATTTTTTCCAAGCATCTCTTCCACCAGTGGCTTTCTTGACATGGATCAGTTGATTATTTTCAACGGACAAAGCAATCCATTGAAGTGCCTTCTTATCTTTCTTTAAGACATCATCTGCCAAATCTGCATCATTTCTCAACTCGATTGAGTCATAACAATCTTCCTTTTGAAGAAGCATCATCATCTTGAACCTCCATGATAAATAGTTGGTATTATTCAATTTTTCGATATGAAAAATTGATTTCTCAGATGTTGAAACAGAGCTGCTTCGTTCTGGGCCCATAACCTGTTGTTCTTTCATGGTGATTCTCAATCAGTTTCCTTTATCCGAGTTATATGCTCTTTTCCGACGAAATAAATCTTCTTTTGCAGTATAGACTACACAGCTAAATACTACTGAAACAGAAGAATACTTCACTCAATGTTTGGAGTCTGAATTATAACTAGCTTTATTTCAAATTTGTCTGCTCTATTTATATTAAAAATTACATGAATGTTACATACAGTTTCATCAACTATTTGACTATCATAAATCATATGAATTATTTTATGACTTCTGTCAAGCTATTAAACATAAATTGATCATCTTTTTATTACTAAGTATTCGGTGTAAGCTATTAAACTGACAATCGTGCATTAACATGTTTATACTCGTTATTGACCTAATACTTACAGTTTTGGTTTACAATATTCAACACTTTTTTCTTCGAGGGTTTATACAAATGGATTGAAACTTTGCATAAATATTTTAATGCTTAAAACAAATACAAATAAAACATCCTAAAATTTTTTTGAGCAAAGAACCAAGAAGGAAATACGTTTTCAATTTTGGACTAGGGACGACCCTAGTCAAAATCAATTTTGTCACTTTTTTCTTCGAGGGTTTATACAAATGGATTGAAACTTTGCATAAATATTTTAATGCTTAAAACAAATACAAATAAAACATCCTAAAATTTTTTTGAGCAAAGAACCAAGAAGGAAATACGTTTTCAATTTTGGACTAGGGACGACCCTAGTCAAAATCAATTTTGTCACTTTTTTCTTCGAGGGTTTATACAAATGGATTGAAACTTTGCATAAATATTTTAATGCTTAAAACAAATACAAATAAAACATCCTAAAATTTTTTTGAGCAAAGAACCAAGAAGGAAATACGTTTTCAATTTTGGACTAGGGACGACCCTAGTCAAAATCAATTTTTTCACTTTTTTTCTTCGAGGGTTTATACAAATGGATTGAAACTTTGCATAAATATTCTGGTGCTTAAAACAAATACAAATAAAACATCCTAAAATTTTTTTGAGCAAAGAACCAAGTAGGAAATACATTTTCAATTATGAACTTGAGACAGTTCCAGTCAAAATCTAGTTTTTCAATTTTTTCTTCGAGGATAAATCCAAATACAGTAAAACTTTGTATGAGCATTCTAATTTTAAGGTCACACATTTCTGAATTAATAAAAATCATTTTTTGGACAAAATTTTAAGTCACGTTGTTTTTGAATGTACAACCAATTTTATAAAATTTGGGTCTGACGACATGTAGAATACATTTCTTGCTTTAGATATTTAAAACTGTTTTGTATAAATATTAGTATACTCACACAAAGTTTCACTGTAATTGGATAAACCTTCGAAGAAAAAAAGTGAAAAACTAGATTTTATTAGGGTCGCCCCTAGTTCATAATTGAGTACAGAGTTGCGACGACAGGTACCTGTCACAGGTAAAGGTGACAGTTTCTGTCAAAAGATCACCTGTCACAGGCCGTTACCTGTTCACAGGTCAAATTTTTTCGCCTATCACAGGTCTGACCTGTCAAAGGTTCTACCTGTCACAGGTCGTTACCTGTTCACAGGTCAATTTTTTTCGCCTGTCACAGGTCTGACCTGTCAAAGGTTCTGCCTGTCACAGGTCGTTACCTGTTCACAGGTCATTTTTTTTCGCCTGTCACAGGTCTGACCTGTCAAAGGTCCTGCCTGTCACAGGACGTTACCTGTTCACAGGTCAATTTTTTCCACCTGTCACAGCTCTGACCTGTCGCAGGCCTCACCTGTGACAGGTCGTCACCTGTTGACAGGTAGAAAAAATCTACCTGTCACAGGTTTGACCTGACACCTGTCACCTGTCACCTTTGACTATCGAAATTTTTTTCTTCTAGTGAAGTATAAAGATTTCAAACAAAATTCATCAATTTTTTTGCTTCCTCAAGTCACGGGTTCAAATCTCTTCGCAAGCAACTTTCTTTTTTTGCATTTTTATGATTTTTTTTAAACTTTTTTGATATAACATTAAGTTTTATGACAAAGTTTTCCATTTTCATGTTTTATTTCTTCACTTTCTATATTTTAACATGTATTTTAACTTTTTTCCATATATTTTCATACAAATTCAACTTTTTTTTTGTCATATTTTAGTTTACCAAGCTGAAATCTGACACAAAGGCACTTTTCCTAGATCTGGATGTTCTTAAATCGTAATCTTGGATTATAATTTATTATATATTTCTACTTTTTACGGTCTCGAATGACAAAGTCTATACTAGTTTTAATATTTTATGCCATTTTATGATCAAAGATTACGATTTTAGAACATCTAGATCTAGGAAAAGAGCCTTTGTATCAGATTTCAGCTTGTTAAAATAAAATATGCATAAAATATGACAAAAAAATTTAAATTTGTATGAAAATATATGGAAAAAAGTTAAAATACATGTTAAAATATAGAAAGTGAAGAAATAAAATATGAAAATGGAAAACTTTGTCATAAAACTTAATGTTATATCAAAAAAGTTTAAAAACAAATCATAAAAATGCAAAAAAAGAAAGTTGCTTGCGAAGAGATTTGAACCCGTGACTTGAGGAAGCAAAAAAATTGATGAATTTTGTTTGAAATCTTTATACTTCACTAGAAGAAAAAAATTTCGATAGTCAAAGGTGACAGGTGACAGGTGACAGGTCAAACCTGTGACAGGTCAAACCTGTGACAGGTAGATTTTTTCTACCTGTCAACAGGTGACGACCTGTCACAGGTGAGACCTGCGACAGGTCAGAGCTGTGACAGGTGGAAAAAATTGACCTGTGAACAGGTAACGTCCTGTGACAGGCAGAACCTTTGACAGGTCAGACCTGTGACAGGCGAAAAAAATTGACCTGTGAACAGGTAACGACCTGTGACAGGCAGAACCTTTGACAGGTCAGACCTGTGACAGGCGAAAAAAATTGACCTGTGAACAGGTAACGACCTGTGACAGGTAGAACCTTTGACAGGTCAGACCTGTGATAGGCGAAAAAATTTGACCTGTGAACAGGTAACGGCCTGTGACAGGTGGGCTGTTTTTGTTGACCTGTGACAGATCGCAACTCAATTTGAGTATGTATTTCCTTCTTGGTTCTTTGCTCAAAAAAATTTTTTTCATCCAAAAATTAACTTTTAATTTGAAAAATTCGTAAGAAATTAAAGTTTTTTGCATTTCTGAAGCAACGGCTGTTCCTACCTTGCCCAAAAACAATACAGCTCTTCTATAGAGCAGGACGGATCAAATGTAAAAAACTAGAAGTCTCTACAATGTCTCGTTATTGAGATTTCTTGCTGATTAACTTGCTTGTTTGCTTGCTTACAGAAAGCATATTTTGCGATTTTCTCAGCAATGCCGCAACCAATTTGAAATCTGTTTTTTGCAAAAGATGTTAAATTCAAGGCACAAACTTTTCTTCTCTGAACATTTTCTTGCATTTATCATTTATCTTGCTCCATATTCTCACAAAATTCAAAAAACTGATTTTTCAATCTGAACAAAACCAATAGATTCACACGTGAAAACGGTGTGAATATAAAAATTTCAAATTATTTATTGACCATTAAAAAGTTTGAATTCCAAAAAAACGTTTAGTGATAAAGCTTTTCTGTATGGAAATTCATTGCAACAAAATATTAATTATACTATAATTGATGTTTTTGTGGTGCAACTTTTAACGGAAATATTTCAAATTATTCATTGCTAATTTTTTATTGCTAATTTGTAATTTTTTAAGTAATAAGTGCTAAAAAATCAAAATTTATTGAAATCTAAAACTGTAAAAAACGATAAAGTTCTGATTTTTCTGTAAAATCATATACTTCACAAGTGCAAAAAATTAATCTTTGTAGAAAGTGATCAAGTTTTTGCCTCTGAAGTTTATTCATACAATCTTCACACATTCATTTTTGAAGAGAAACTGGTACTTGTTGTTAATTTTTTTGTGTTTATAATTTTTTTTTTTATTTTTGAAAATACATGTAACAATAATTGTTTGAAGATATTAATGATAAACAATTCAGTCTTCGAATTGAAAATATTAGAGCTTTTATGTGTACAAAAAATTTCTGCTTAAATAAGTTAATCGATTATTATATATTTCTTTGACATTCTTCAATAACTTTTTTGAAATTATTTGCAAGTTCTTCATTTTTAAATCGTATGGCTAATTGTTCTACTTCTCCATCAATTGACTCGGCATAGTTCATTCCAACCCAACAAAAAGCTTTAGGAGAATTTTCCATAGAAGAAATATGCAAGTCGAATGTTATAAGTTGATTAAGAACTAGCTTAAAAATTTGTTCACGCCTCAATATCATCCTAAATGTTTTATTAACAGGGTGATGTAATATCTTCATCTCTCCAACACCTACAAAAATGTCGTTAATTTTTTTTTAATTAGCACATAAATATGTATGTTTTTACCTCGCTCCTTCCATTCTTTAGTATTTATGTCGTAACGAAATAATTTAGCTCGTTCACCAAACAATTTTTCTTCATCCTCTTCTCCAGTACATACTTTAACTTCCTCCGGTAAACTTATAATTGGATCATAGTGTGGATCATAATTATCGTCCTGGACATTTTCATCGTCATTATGACTTGTTTCATCCGTTGAAGTGTTCTGTTTACTCAAATTTTTACTAAAGAAATCATCTTTTACAGTTAATCCAAAAAATTGTCCCGTTCCATTACTTTTCTGTACATTAAATAATGTGTCTTCAGTACTTGAGGATGCAGCTAATTCAGCAAAACCTTCAATGTTATTGACATTTTTAAGAAACTCTGGCTCATTAGATGATATATTTTTAGATTTATCTTCAAGTTCTCTAGCAGCGTCTGCAAAACTAAAAGTGGAACTGAAGGTACCAAAAATATTTGTGGCTCCTCCCTTATGTGCATTATGTGCACCAAAAATATTAGCTCCAAATATTGGTGTATTTGCAAAACTCGATTTTTCATTATTTTCTTTATTTCCACTACTGAAGATACTTGAACTGTTTGCAATATTTCCGAAATTTGTTTTGCTTCCAAAAATGCAAGTCTTTTCATTTGTTGTGTTGCCAAGACCGATGGTCGTCGTTCCTGTATTTAGTGATGATGAAAAAACTGAAGTACTACTCGTGGCAGTACTAATTGTATTCTTATCATCACCATATGTGTTGATGATGTCTTGAGTCAGATTGTTGGACTTGTTAAAAATATTAGCAGTTGCTTCAGTTTTTTGTTTTTCGTTGTTCATTGGAGATTTTTCGTCATCAAGATCAACAGTTTTGTCAAAGAACTGAGAAGCTTTAACGTTTTCTTTTATTTCTGCCAACTTGAATGATACCTTTTTATCTTGACTAACACCTTTAGATTTATTTCTTGTTAAAATTGACGGTGAGAAAAGTGGTAATGAGAATTCGTCTGTATCATGCATGCCTGATCTAATTTCAGTGCTATAGATGTATTCATCAGATTTGCAACCCAAGCAACCAGAACAGTTTTCTGAATTTTCAAAACTAAAGAAATTTTCAGGAAGCATTAACTTTTTAATTATTTCAGAATTAACATTCAATTTAGAATGCGTTATTATTAATGCACTATCGATGGCCTTCTTAAATTCATCGCAAATATCTTTGGATTTGAATCTTATTGCAAAAGATCTGAGTTCATATTCGCCTTCCGAAAAGTCATTAGCCCCAAAAGTCCAAGATTGGTTGTCTTTACGTTTGAACTCGATATCAGTTGTAAGGAAAAAGTTGAGACAGATCTTATGAACTTGCTCGCGTCGCATTACCATTCTATGGAACAAAAAAATATTATATAAATTTAGTGTGAATTTGAAAGGGGCTGTTCAATTATGACGTCCGAAATTAACGGTTATTTTTCAAAAACGAACAATGGTTTTCCAGGAATTTCTATTGTTCTTTCTGTCTGACCCCTATTGAGATTTTTGCGAAATCTCCATACAAACACTATATTTGCTCTAAATTTTTTTTAAAGCCTTAAATCAAAAAATAGATGGTAGTTTAAATGTTTTACATCTTCTTAGGAATTTATTGACATCAAATTCATAATATTTGGTGCAAGTCCTGATCCAGTAGAGCGCAAAAACTAGCTTTTTGGAGGCTTAAATTAAAGTTGTTCTGGTGCACTTGTTTTAAATAATTATTATATGAAACATTTTTTGTAATGTAGGGCCTGAAAAGACCTTTCCTAAGGTTTAAAATTTGTCACCCAACCTACAGCTTGTAACTCAAAATCAATCATATTGATATGTTTATCAATAGAAAGCTACAAAGGTCTAGTATTGCGGAAATGTAGGCGCTTTGCGTGAGTCGTCTTAGTTCTCGATATAGTGAAAATAGTGTTTAATCTGGTGGATTATAAATAAATCCAATGGATTAAAAATTAATTAGTAATATCTTTTAATTTTCAAATCCATTTTTTCCGTGTGATATCTTAAATTAAAGGTAAAAAAGAGGAAAATAATCGACCATAAAAAGGTTTTCATTTTATTTGGTTTTGAGTGGGTTTAAGAAATATTTATTTTAATCTTGATTAATTTTAAACCGGATTTAAGAGTTTAATTTTATTAATTTTGCTTTATTTGCGCAAAATGTTCTCAAATTGTCAAAAATGCATTTAAATTGCTAAAAGAACTTATGATTGATATAAAAAAATGACTTAATTTTTTTGTTGACAGTAGCTGGTCTTAATCCAGTGACACGGATTAACTAGTGTTTGATCTTCAACATTAATCCTGACTTATTTATTGTATTGAAATTATTTTGAAAAAATAATAAATAATACAAGGACAGTATAATTTTAGTATCCTTTACTTACAAAAACACTAATTTTATTCACGCGAAGCTCAGCTGACTCGCTAGCTTTATACCTTGAAACGAATGCTGAGCGAAGCTAAGCTGACCTGTCAGGCTTTATACTTTCAAACATATGGTAAGCGTTCTAGTTTACAAACTTATGCTGTGCGATAGCACAGCTGATCGATGAAGACTTTCTATGATAAGAGTCCATTGTCGCTTATGCTGTGACAGTCAAGCTTTATACCTCCAAACATAAACTGAGTGCAGCTCAGCTGGTTCGTCAAGATTTATACTTTCAAATTAATATTGAGCTAATGTTGGTCTATCCACAAGACTTTTGATGGTACGGTGTGAATATATCCGAATTGGGCTTCTAACCCTTACACTAATTTTCGTTTTGTGATATGGGCAATTCTACGAAAAGGTTTCATGAAAATAATCCGTGTCAATTGCATGAAATTTTTTAATTATTTTATTTTCACTTGTGCATAGATTTTCAAAAATCTAATTCTCATTTCCTTTTCTATTGGTTAAACTGTGAATTATGATTACATCTGCACTCAAATTATTTAGCTATGGCTTGAGAAATTCATGGTTTTAATTTTAAAATTTGGTAGTTTTTTTTGAAATTGTCTTCAAATTACTCTGTTTCACTTATGAAATTTTTCGTAGAATCCAAATTGCAGCTTAATTATGGCTTCCACAAATATGATTTTGACATCGTTTTGAAGCTTTTACTTTAAGCTATAACTTTGTGTACTTAGTATTACTGAAAATTTTACCACCTTAAAGATATTAATGAAAACATTTTGGAAATTTGGGCGAAAAAATTCATGTGAAATAGAGTAAATTTTCGTAGAATGTAAATAATTCTTTAATTAACCATTTTTAATATGTTTGGGTGAGAACAATATGTAGATCTCGGTAAAATCTACTATTAAATACATGAAACATGGGGAGTAATGCAACTTATAAAGAGAAATATAGATTTGGAGACAAATTTGTAGAAAAAATCATTCGTAGAATCGCCCATATATATATAAGAACTGTATTCTAACATAAGTCAAACGCGGAAGCTAGTGACTTTCTACGTAAGTCGTGTATTTTAACTTAATATCAGCTCGGCAAAAACTAATTTAACATCCACATTATCATCTTTATTTATGTAAAAAAACATTCTAATCAGGCAATGGGTTGTTAATTACAGTACATTTTGCTTTTTGAAAATCATTTTCTCACGGATTTGGAAAATAAACACTTTAAGGTCGCCCTATTTCAATTATTGGTTTCCAATTTTTCATTTTTCCGCTAAATGACTGTGTTCTAAGTCGATTGAAGTATACAGGGTCATAAAGGAAGACAGAATACACATTATACTGACAATGAGTACTTGTCTAGATACCTAGAAAGTGTAAATTTTTTGGTTGAAAAATCAGAATTCCACTTTTTGAAATAGGGCAACCGTCACAAAAATCCAAATATTTCGTTAATTAAAGCATGTAGAAGAAAGAAAAAAAGATATTTAAGTAGAATTCATCGATTTACATACTCATATCTAGTTGTTGGATGGTCTAGATGGCTCATTTTTGAGAAAAAACAGTTTAAAGTCGAAATTTTTATAAAATCACATCAGTGGAATTGCCCAACAGGGTATGCACAAGGGATTTTTGATCAAAGGACAGCAAAGATTCAAAAAATTGAAAGCCGTTAAAAAAATTTAAACTTCATTTTGTTCATTAAAGTATGTTAACGCAACAATTTTAAATTTTTCATGGTCTCATCATTATGGAAATCATTTACCTTATTTTTCCCGTTTCATTGTGTTGAAGGATTTTTAAATCACCAAGACCACGTTCCTTCCATTCCTTGTCAGTAAATCGAAATAATTTCGCTCGGTGCGAATAAAGTATCTATGAGAATATTTAAAAAAAAAATTTTGCATTAGACAGATTTGTATATTGAAAGAATATAAAAACCTTCTCGTTCTCTTCTCCGGTTTTGATTTCAATTTTATCTGGTAACGGAATTACTGGAGTGAAATAAGTTTGATTCTCTTCCTCCTCATGATACTCATTATCATCAACAATTTCATCGCATCCTTCACTGTTTATACTATCATTCCTTGACTTTCCTGGAGATTTAAGTTTTGTTGGTGATTTCTTTTTGAAAATAAAATTAAATCCTGAATCATTTTTCCCAATTTCTTGTACAGATGTATTGACATTAAATTGCACTTTCTGTGCTAGTTTTGTGTTGTTTGCAGAAGACAAATTTCCAAATGAAAACGGTTTAGATGCATCAAATTTAAACCCAGAATTATCATTTGGGGGAGATGAATTAATATTGGCGATTGATGTTTCGGTGAAATTATTTGAAGTTATGTCAGCTGTATTTGATTTAATAGTTGCTAAAGTTGTTTGAACTACTGGCATACCAAATGAAAATCCTGATTTATTTGGCATTCCAAACCTAAACTTGGATGATTTCATATCACTTGAAGATATTATTAGAGATTTTGTTTCCTTTTTCTGCACTGTGTTGTCCTTGGGAGATTCACAAGCAACACAATATAATGACTCAGGCTTATTTGAAATATAGCATGCTTCACAAGTCCATGAACCGACTTTTGGTTTAAACTTATCTCCAAATCCTTTTGTTTGTTCATTTTTCGGAGCAATGACAAAATCTGCTTCAACAGAAGATGTATTTTCTTGTAAATTTGAAATAGCATTTTGGAAAGATTTAATTAATTCAGGTGTTTTAAATTTGATGGCTAGTTTTTCAGCCTTCATTTCTCCATCACTGAAATCTTGTCCAGCAAATGAAAGTGCATTACTGTTCATTTTGGTAAATTTCATTTCTTTAGTAATTGACATATTACAACATAACTTTAATACTTGTTCCCGCCTCATTAGCAGTCTTCCTTTAGTCGGATCGTCCTTCTTAACAAGTACCTTCATATCTCCAATTCCCCTTTCTTTCCATTCTTTAGTGCTCGAGTCGAATCTTAGTAATTTTGCACGATTGCAAAATAAAACATTTTCATCCTCTTCACCAGTTTTATTTTCAATTAATTCTGGCAACGGAATAACTGGTTCAAAATGAGCTGTTGGTTCAAAATGTTCATCGTCATCATCATTTTGAAAAGATTTAGTCATGTCAGAAGTTTGTACTGATGTTGAAAGTAATTCTTGTTTTGCAGGATTTAAGTTGCTAAATAACTCTGTAAATGATTTATTGGTCGAGCCTCCAAAGCTGAAATTTGCAAATGGACTTGTTTGAACTGTTTTATTTGCATCAGCTTCTGTGTCTTCTTTAGGCTTATTTTCTGTTTTTTTCAAATTTCCTGTAAGTCCTCCAAATGCAAAACTTATCTTTTGTGTTTGGTTCAAAACATCTCGTTCAGCTATTGCTTTTTCGTTTGACGCTTCCGTCTGGTTTATTTTAAAGAAATATGTAAATAAAGAAACACGTTTGAAAATAAAAATTAAAGATGTCCTCGTGCTTTATCGAGTGAATTCAACCGATTTTTTTGGTTGAATTAAAATTTTTTGATTATTTTTTTTTTAAAGAAAAAAGCAAGGCCATGACACTTTCAAAATAGTATGATTTAATAGATTGATTTTTGACCATTTCTACTGCTCCAATCGAGCTCAAATTTCTTATACACACGTTTTCGTATGAAAAAGAAAGATCATTATAGTATAAATACATGATTTCAAGACTTTTAACCATTCGATGGGTTGATAAATCAATAGAAACAGAGCTAATAAAACAAACCCGAGCTCTCTACGATGTCTGGTTAAAAAAAATCCCCTGCCGAGGAGCCAAACAAAGGGGGTTACCGACATTTGCCCACTAACTTTTGTCCACTCTACATATTCCCACTGGTACTTTTGCCCATTGATATATTTGCCCACTGTATAGTTGATAAAAGTATTTATCAGAGATCGAAGCCGATTTTTTCGGCTTAACTCAATTTTTGATTTTTTTGATAGAAAAAAGCTATTTAACTCACATTTCAAGTATTTAAATTGAACTTTACATGCTTTACTATGATTCTGTGCCGATCTGAGCTTACTATAGCTACATGCTGACAAAATATTACACAGAATCATAGTAAAGCATGTAAAGTTCAATTTAAATACTTGAAATGGGTGTGAAATGGCAAAATTGAGTTAAGCCGAAAAAATCGGCTTCGATCTCTGGTATTTATGTTCAAAAAATTTTAACGCATTTTTGAAACTTGATTCAAAACGAGAAATACTTTTCAAATAGTTAAAAGTCTTAAAACTGTGTTTATTTATAAATAGCATTTTAATTGATTTTCTAATTTCATTTAAAAACACGTGATGAGTGTGTTAGAATTTTAAATTTTTTTTAATGGAAAATTTCATTAATCGCGACAAACTGTATTATTGAATCCACCGGGTATGCGAAAACCTGGTAGACCTGATAGTGTTACTTGGCAATTGTCTACTCGTAAAGGCTTTTTTTGATCCATGTTCCTTAAAAATTTAAATCATTAAAATTCAATTTTTAAAAGCTAATACTTCATGAAAAGTATATTAACTTCTTTCTTATGACATCTTATAAAAGATATCCAAATAATAAAAACTGCTGTTAATTGAAGTAAATTTTGCATACAAAAAAATGGTTTCTGACGGACTATAAAATTAAAAGCTTTAAGAAAGCTCTATTTCAAAAAGTTGATTAATAATTTTAAAAGAAGGCAAAATGAACACGACAACAATAAATTGTTATCGGGATGTCTTAAAAGCATGCATTTTTGCTTGAGAAATCAGAATTCCTTTTTTGAAACAGTTAATATTATTAAAATATACTTGTTTTTTTCGTGTTCACTTGAGTCGACTTAAAGCGGATTGAATTTTCGAGTGAAGTGACTTCGACCTCTGGTAAATAGGTAAAGTAAACTTAGAATATCAAGTTAGCTGATCGGCTTAAATTTACATGCTGATAAAAATATTACTTTTTTCTACCAAAAAAAATATCAAAATTTGATTTATCCGGAAAAAAATCGGTAAACAACTTTTAAAAATTCGCAAAAAAAATAAATATCAAATTGCTTTACCTTTAATGAGTCCTCAGAATTGGCGAGCTTTTTTGCACATTCGAAAATGTCTCTAAATTTCTTTGCTTGTTCCGCATATTTGAAACGAACAAGGAATTTCTCAAGCTTCATCTCTTCTTCGGTATAATCATTAGCACCCCATATCAAATTGGTTTCATTTTGAGTTGTCTTTAATTCCATTTCAGAAGTAATTGCATGATTTGCACACAGTTTATGAATTTGTTCTCTTCTCATAACTATGCGACATTTGTTACTACTCTTATTCTTAAGAATCTTGATGTTACCTAGGCCGCGCTCCTTCCATTCCTTATCAACAAATCTAAAAAGTTTTGCTCGTTCTTCAAATAATATTTCTTCATTCTCTTCGCCAGTTTTAATTTCCACTTCGTCTGGTAATGGAATGATTGGCTTAAAATCTGGACGTGGATCGTAATCAGCAGGCTCATTATAATACTCACTATCATTTTGCTTAGATGGCGATATATTTTCATAATTATTTTTCATATTAGATTTCGTTGTTATGGTTTGTTGGATAGGAACATCATTTTGTGAATGTTTAATATGTTGAGGAGGAATAGTGACGCTTAATGTAGGTTGAGCAATGATTGTATTTTGTGTTGGCAATGGATCAGAATTTGTGATGACAACATTAATGGGAAGTGATTCTTTGGTTGTCGTTGAAACATTCGAATAATTAATGAAATCATTTGATAATGATTGAATATTTGAAGGAGTTGTTGGTAAAGTTGAATTATAAGTATTGTTCCATGTATTTAATACAGTCGAAGTATTTAATGCTTCAAGAAGCATCGATTTTGGTCCAGCGCTAGAGAGATGAGACTGTTGTGATTGTGGTGGCGGTTGAATTATTGGAGTATTGAAGCTAATTGCATCACCAGCGTAATTTAATTGAGTAGGATTTTGACCAAAAGGTGCTCGCGTAGCAGATGTAATAGGATATTGCATTGGGTAGATAGGATAAGCTGTGTTGTACATTTGATTAAACTGATTTGCACCAGGGAATCGGGTCGCAGAAGATAAAACAGCTCCCGACTGATTCGGAATCATATTCATCATATACGTTATATTCCAAGGTAAGTCTTCTAGAGACTTATAAATATCGTTTAGTGCCTTTGACGTGTTTGCATCTTTATTGACATTCAAGTCTGTAATATTGCCACGAATGTTTAGAACATCATCTTTTAAACTCGTTATATCATTTCGAACACTCAATATATCATCTTTAACCGAAATAATCAAATCATTTAATATCCTTATTAGACTCTCGATCTCAGCAAATTTTTCATTATTATGATTTGTCATCGTTGCGTATGTGGATAAATCTCGTCGCCCTCGAAACGAACTTGACGAAGCATTATGAAAAATTTCATCATCAGCATATCCATTTTGTGATGTATTATGAACGTCTAACTCTTCATTGTTATTAAATGATGATAAGTCATATTGAAGTTTCTTCAAGTCTATCTCCACTCGCATTCTCAGCGGATTATCTTTGTAAATGTTTTCTTTCTTATCCAGCAACAATAAAGTCTCTTTCAAACTCTCTCGTGCCTTCTCAATATAAAATTTCTTTGCTTTTCTTGGCGACTTGCCCAACTCGTCCAATTTTCTATAAGCTTCAGAACGATAGAAATGAGCCCAAACATTTTGAATTCCTGTCAGCTCGTCAATAAATTCCTTATATTCATCGCGTCTAAAATACACACCAGACAGATAGCCAATAGCAGATCCAGTTAGTTGTTCAACTTCCTGATCAATATCATAATTATTTGTAATGAATTTAAATAGTCGTGTCGTGTAATCCGGATTTTTCATCATTTTCATTGCAAATTTATAAACATATTCCACGCGTATTTCAAGATGTCTTTTTTCCTCTGGTTTACAACAGCTGGATCTCAATAGCAAGATATCTCCTAGTTTCAATAAAATTATTAGATCAATCTTTGGAGAATCGATCCCTCGAACAGCTTCAATTCCGTATTGTAAAGTAGCTTTTAATTGAGCCAAGTTCTCAAAATTTATATTTTTATACATTTTATACGCACAAAGCCACCAATATTTTTGCTCTTCGGTACATAAGCCTTCAACCATATTAGATGCTGGTAAAATTAATGGTCTCTCATTTAGTCGATTATTAAATGCTTCGTAGGATTTCTTTTCAGCTTCTAATTTACGTTTTGCTTGAATAATGGAACAATAAAGAAATGAATCAATATCGATTCGATTAATTGTTTCTGGATTACAATTAATAAGATTGGATGCTGATAAATTTAAGCCGTTGAATGTATGAGCCTTAAATGTATGTAAATCTACACGTCCTAGTCCCAGGTAAACCTGATGGTTTAAACATGAGGGATAAAGATGTTGTGCGATGTTTTCGTAATTCTCAACATCGCTGAATGATATCATTTCGTAGTTTGGCTCATGAAAATATAAACTCTGAACGTAATACGACGACGAAATTTTCATTTGATGATCGGTGTTTGCAAATAGTAAACGAAATATGTTTTTTCTCCAATTCAAATCAGCACACGTTTCTCGAACTTGATTGAAAATGTCGTCAACTGTATACCAGAATTTTTGATTTGAAATTTGTACAATATCATCACTTTGATTTGTTTTACAGGACAATATAGTACGTGCGGATTGTGTGCATCTGAATGCTCCTTCTTTTTTGAGATGAGTAAATAAATTTCGAATGGTTTCATTCATATTCTTAAGCCAAGCGGCGTCTGTGTTGACTGTTGAAGATTGAAAAGCAAAGAGCAGAAAAGGTAAGCACTTTTTTGTTGTCTCTCGCCATTGATCATTGTTTGTAACTTTTTGCTTTTGAAACAATAAAGAAGCTATATGAAGAGCAAGTTGTCCACAAAAATGACTAATAATTTCTTCGCCAAACTCTTTAACAGGGCCAACTTGAAGTAGCTTATCAGAGGCCTTACTAATAACTTGATCAAATTCAAAAAGTAAATTTGTAACTTCATTTATGTTAGTTTGCTTGGTTGCTTGCAAATTAGTATCCTTTTTAAGATTCAAAAATATTTGCTTCTCGAAAGTTATGAGTAAGAGACACCAATGATTCCATGTGTCATCTTCTGAATAACTTAAAACATCAGACATTGTATTGTACCATTCAATTGATAAAATAAATGTTTCAATGCATTTCATTTCTAGATCAAAACAGTATTTCAAAGCATCTTTAAAGCGCTTCTCTTCCAGTAAAAATCTCACCAATCTGATTCTCAAACCAACATCATGAGGACGAGCCGTTATTTCTCGAAGAATCATATCTTCTGCCGGTCTATTATCTAGCTTATTATCTTTATTGGACATTTTTAGACGCAATGTGAATACATTATCATCACGAATGTTTTCGGTCTCTGCCAATTCACACCAATATTTCGCCTTAGCTGGACTCGTTGACCATCCATCATTTAGAAGAAATAGGCGACATACTGCAATAATACTTAGTGATATACTATAAATATTTAAAAGTTGAAAAAATGAATTCTTACCGCTCTTAATGATGTCATTTTGCTTAGAATTTAAGCTATATGAATGTTGAAAGTTCGTAATGGCCTGTTCTGGTTTTTGTAGCTTTTCATAAATTTCACCCATAAACTTGTAAGCAGCTGCATCGTCTGGTTTAATTTCCAAGTATCTTTGAAGCCAATCTTTCGCCAGCTCATATTCATTTACTTTTGCATAGCTTTTAGCGATAGCAAATCCACGACTTGATCTCTTAAAAAAAAGAAGCAATTGAAATTCAATTAATTTTGAAATTACCGCCAATAATTTAACCTAAACTTGTAGCATTTCAAAAAAATTTATTTCTCACATAACTAGCCATTTTTAATGAATTTACATATATTCTTTATCTATTTATAAATCATTCAGTAACGTAAATATATGAAAAATAACAAAAATATTTGAAAAAGCCGAGAAAAGCACGCCAATTAAAATTACAAATTTTATACCTCATTTTCATTGAGTTTCTGGGACATTTGAGAAACATGTCGATCAACATCTCGTTTGCTATTAAATTTAATCATTATTTTACGGCTTCTATAAATAGTTTTCCACAATTTTCCTGTTTAATTTTTTAAAAATACAAATTTCCACTTTTTTTCTTTCACAGAATGGAAAGGTTTTAATTTTCGATGGATGAGTTTAGTTTTTTAAATATTTTCTGTATGTTTTTTAAATCAAGAATGAAAAAAAAAAACGTTTTAGAAACAGCACCGTTCGTTCTGTAAATGAATCAATCTGGATCGAACAGAAACTTAAAGAAAATATAAAGGTAATTAAGTTAAGATAGGTTTTACGAATCACAAAGAACCAACAATTTTGCTCAGTGACTCACCCCACACCAATACTATCACGCGGAAGCTAATAAATACATTGCAACGATGAAAATTTACAATAGGACTTAGTCGTTTGCTAAATAAGTGTCAGAAATAAGAAAGTTTTTACAATTTTCTCTTTTCCTGGATATAACAATAATATCTCAATAGTTTATGTTTTAGAGTTTCTAAAAACGAAGTTTTTGGTGTTAAAATTATTAAGGCTTGTTTATATTAAGGCAAAAAAAATTCAGAAAAATTCTTAAAATTTATATGAAAACTTTTAGAAAAACAAATCATATACCAAATTGTAAGTGGATACTATTTATACAAATTGTTGGTTTATAGTTGTTTGCGTATGTAATTGTGTAAGGGTTCTGAAAAACAATGTATTTCATAAACGCCACATATATTTCAAAGTGGTGGATAAAATCATACGTGTGTTTTTATTCACCATGTACATTTACCCTAAGCCAGTATATTGATAAAGATCAGAATTATTTTAATTTAATTTGGAAAGCTTAAATTTTATATAAATGCGCCCACGTTTTAAGATGTAGAACTATACAATATGGTCGAAGTGAACAAATTTGCAATTCATGTATGGTCATGACTTTAGTATAAAACTTTAATATCAATCTCAAATTTTCAAACCAATATCCTTTGAACCCAATTAAAAAAGTTATTTTCTACTTTTTAGTCCACGGGAAAAAACGTGGTTTTTTAAAAAGTTTTTTTATGAAGTATTTATTTTCTACTTTTTAGTTTTAAAAAATTATTTAAAGTATCCATCGATCAGCATAAGTTTGTAAACTAGAACAAAACCATTGAAAGTCTCCATCGATCAGTTGTGCTTCGCAAAGCATAAGTTTGTAAACTAGACTCATACCATAGAAAGTCTTCATCGATCAGCTGTGCTTCGCACAGCATAAGTTTGTAAACTAGAATTTAACCGTAGAAAGTCTTCATCGATCAGCTGTGCTTCGCACAGCATAAGTTTGTAAACTAGACTCATACCATAGAAGTCTTCATCGATCAGCTGTGCTTCGCACAGCATAAGTTTGTAAACTAGAATTTAACCGTAGAAAGTCTTCATCGATCAGCTGTGCTTCGTACAGCATAAGTTTGTAAACTAGAATTTAACCGTAGAAAGTCTTCATCGATCAGCTGTGCTTCGCACAGCATAAGTTTGTAAACTAGAATTTAACCATAGAAAGTCTTCATCGATCAGCTGTGCTTCGCACAGCATAAGTTTGTATCAGCTGTGCTTCGCACAGCATAAGTTTGTATCAGCTGTGCTTCGCACAGCATAAGTTTGTAAACTAGATTCATACCATAGAAGTCTTCATCGATCAGCTGTGCTTCGCACAGCATAAGTTTGTAAACTAGATTCATACCATAGAAGTCTTCATCGATCAGCTGTGCTTCGCACAGCATAAGTTTGTAAACTAGAATTTAACCATAGAAAGTCTTCATCGATCAGCTGTGCTTCGCACAGCATAAGTTTGTAAACTAGAACAAAACCATTGAAAATCTCCATCGATCAGCTGTGCTTCGCACAGCATTAGTTTGTAAACTAGAATCAAACCATTGAAAGTCGTGTAACGTATTTTTTCTCATTCAAACTCATAACGGCTTTTTGAAATATAAAATTATTGAAAGTTGTTCATATGTTATGTAAAAATAAGCTAAGCCTTAAAGAGTAAAAAATTTAATTTAATTGTACTATAATTAAGCATTTTTAAGTTTCCGAAATGCTTGAATATTGTATTGTCACCGGAAAGAAAAGTGCATGCAAAATTTCAGCTCGATTGGAGCAGTAGAAGTGGTCGAAAAATTGATCGCAAGATTTGACCTCGACAAACAGATAAACAGATAAACAGATAAGAAAGCAAGTTAAGAAAAACGTGGTAAAAATGTTGAAAATCCCGAGCGGGATGAACCATGGGTGAATTACTTACCCTGTTTTTTCGTTATAAGCTACTACTCGTTACTAAGCGACTAGCTTAGTAAAGTTTTTTGAACATGAAATTTTTTTGTAATCTTTACTAAGGTACTACCAAAAATAAAGTTTAATTAATCTTTTCCAACTTTCTAAGTATCAGTTTCAATGCCTTATGACATTGTCAATGAAATGAAATCGAGAAGATAGCAAAATTTCTTTAATTAAGTTAAAAAATTCAAAATTTTCATAGAAGTTCAATTTTTTTACTAAGCTACTATTCGTTACTAAGCTACTAGTGAGCCAAAAAATCACTTTTTTATTCTTCTAAGCAACTAGCTTATAACGAAAAAACAGTGTATTTTTATTTAAGCAAACTATTTTGCAATTTACCCTGTTTATGGGCGAGTCTCAATATGGGCGATTCTACGAATGATTTTTTCTACAAATTTGTCTCCAAATCTATATTTCTCTTTATCAGTTGCATTACTCCCCATGTTTCATGTATTTAATAGTAGATTTTACCGATATCTACATATTGTTCTCACCCAAACATATTAAAAATGGTCAGAGATCGAAGCCGATTTTTTTTGGCTTAACTCAACTTTTGATTTTTTTGATAGAAAAAAGCTATTTAACACACATTTCAAGTATTTATATTGGACTTTACATGCTTTACTATGATTTTGTGTAATATTTTGTCAGCATGTAGCTATAGTAAGCTCAGAATTTCAAGTTAAACGATGTTAAGCCGAAATTTAAGCCGATCGGCTTATCATCGACTAAATTGAAATTCTGAGCTTACTATAGCTACATGCTGACAAAATATTACACAGAATTATAGTAAAGCATGTAAAGTTCAATTTAAATACTTAAAATGGTAGTTAAATGGCTCTTTTCTATCAAAAAAATCAAAAATTGAGTTAAGCCGAAAAAATCGGCTTCGATCTCTGAAAATGGTTAATTAAAGAATTATTTACATTCTACGAAAATTTACTCTATTTCACATGAATTTTTTCGCCCAAATTTCCAAAATGTTTTCATTAATATCTTTAAGGTGGTAAAATTTCCAGTAATACTAAGTACACAAAGTTATAGCTTAAAGTAAAAGCTTCAAAACGATGTCAAAATCATATTTGTGGAAGCCTTAATTAAGCTGCAATTTGGATTCTACGAAAAATTTCATAAGTGAAACAGAGTAACTTGGAGACAATTCCAAAAAAAACTACCAAATATTAAAATTAAAACCATGAATTTCTCAAGCCATAGCTAAGTAATTTGAGTGCAGATGTAATCATAATTCACAGTTAACCAATAGAAAAGGAAATGAGAATTAGATTTTTGAAAAACTATGCACAAGTGAAAATAAAATAATTAAAAAATGCATGCAATTGACACGAATTATTTTCATGAAACCTTTTCGTAGAATTGCCCATATACAGATTTGGAAGCTTTAAAATTTGTAACATAAATTTTTTTTTAAATTATTTGTGGATTAAAAAGAGACGATTAAATAATTAAATAATTGCTAGTCATTTGTCGATTTGGTTAGCATACTTAAGGTATTTATAAAAACTACTAGATATAAAGCTCTATAGTGTAACAGATTTAAGTAATTTATGTCAAGTTTAAATCACAGCCCTGAAGTTCAATGAATTAAAGACGTAACTCACAATGCAAAATTACAAAAAATGAACATTTATTTTCTACAATTTTAGGAACCCTTTTGAGCAAAAAAAGCATACAAAAACGTGTAATAAATGGAATTAAATAAAGATATATTGAAGAAAAGATTAACACCTCTTCAATATCAAATAACGCAAGAATGTGGAACTGAAAGACCATTTTCTGGAAAATATAATAAATTCAATAAAAAAGGGATTTACGTTTGTGTAGTTTGTCATCAAGATTTATTCAGTTCTGAGTTTAAATATGAAAGTTCATGCGGTTGGCCATGTAAGCTTCGATAGAGTAAAAAGAGGCTCCGTTAACAGAAATGGGAAACATACACTTTGTATTCATTGTTAACAATATTTCTTTATTGCTAGGAAAAAATAATGGCATATTATATATACTATGGGTCCTCGATTTGAGTAGATTCGATTTGAATAGATTAGATTTGAGCAACGAGAATTAATGAATAGAAAATTTAAAATATTTTTTTGTACCGGACATTTTTCATACAAAAAGTAAATAATTCGATTTGAATAGAATTTTTTTGGTATTTTTTTTTGAATTTCTTAAGTTCAGCTATTCAACTAAATTAATTTAATTATTTATTTTTATCCAGAGTTGGAACACTGATGCTCAGAACCTGGAGTAAACCATTGTTTTTCAAAGCTCCTTTTCATCTAGTTTCAGCTAGTCAAAAATATATTTTTGTGGTTTTTAAATAGACAAAACAACGGACTAAAACGCAAAGCATAGTGTTTTTTAAACACAACTCTGGGTAGCAAAAATATGAATTTATTAACTCTTGCTATTTTTAGCGCATTTTTGTATACTTGTATACGAAAAGGGAGCTTAATAATGCACTTTGTTCGTTCGTTCGTCTGAAGAAAAACTTTTTAACCAGATATCGTAGAGAGCTCAGGTTTGTTTTATTAGCTCCGTTACTATTGATTTATTGGCCGATCGAACAGTTAATAGTCTTAAAACAGTGGACTTATACTATAATTAATGTTTTTTTATTTCATAAACAAAACCACGTGATGAGTTCGTTTAAAAAATTCAATATTACCTCAATAATTTCAAATTTTTTCTAGCCGTTGTTCAATTTGAATTACAAAACACCGTTAAATGATAAACTTATCCTGTATGGAAATTCATTGTAACAAATTATTAATTATAGGGCGATTCTCCAGATAAAAATTTTCAAAAAACCACCACTAAAATGAATTTTTTATAATTTTTTTTCATTAGAGAGCCTCGAAAGACAAATTAATATTGTACAACTTTTTAAACTCTACAAATCTGTGTAATTAAATGCTTTCAATATCCTCTAATTAAGGAAATATTTCGATTCTTCGGACGATTTCTCGAAGACAAAATATGGAATTTGGATTTTTATAATCAAAAATTAAGTATTAAAAACTATTCTTTGACATATGATATAAATACCAATCGATAGAAAACGAACTACTTTATCATATATGACAACAATTTTATTAAGCTTAATACAAATTTCACAAGAAAATTCAATTCTTTTGATGAAAATTTTGTCTTTGAGTAATTTTTAAAGCGCTTGAAACTAATTTGTGAGATTTAAATTTTTCAAATACGTTATAAATTTAAATGGAATATTTTTAAAAGAAACGATGACGATTGAGTGCAATATTAATTATTAATTACCTTTTGTTTAATTAAAACATATAAAATGATTTTTATAAATTAAAACAAAATTTTATTTTTGTAAACAAGTCTTTGTTTACATTTTTCCCAACGTATTTCAAAAATTTAAAAATTTCAAGTAGCAGTGGAATTACAGTTCTGTTTTTAAAAATTCAACCTATCTGGAGAATCGCCCTATACTCATTATACTATAACAGAGGTCGAAGTTGGTGAAGTGAAGTCGTTTCACTTCACTTCACTTCACTAAAATTTCAATCGGTTTCAAGTCAGCTCGAGTGAACTCATTTTTTTCGTGTTCACTCGAGTCGACTTTTAACCGAGTTGATTTTTTCGTGTTCACTTTAGTCGACTTTTAACCGAGTTGATATTTTCGTGTTCACTTTAGTCGACTTTTAACCGAGTTGATATTTTCGTGTTCACTTTAGTCGACTTGAAACTTGATTTTTTCGTGTTCACTCGAGTCGACTTTTAACCGAGTTGATTTTTTCATGTTCACTTTAGTCGACTTGAAACCGACTTGAGTTCACTAAGGAAAAAAAATGTAATATACCAAACTGATTTCCGCTATTGTTTGTGAAGTATATGTGATTACATACAAAATTGCAACAAAATTGCAGAATTTGTCCTTTTTCACTTTTCATAACCATAAAGCAAACTAAACGAATTAATTTAAAATATTTTTTAGATTTCATATATTTTATAAATGTTTTGCACTATAGATTATTTTTCTGATTTGAAATTATTTATTACGAACTGCTACAATTATGAATGAAATTATTTTAATTCACACCATATTTCCAATTTTGGTGAATATATTTTAATCTCATATTTATTTGTTTGACAACATTGATATATTGATAAGTGCACTGAATGAATCGTAAATTCTATTTTTCTTCTCACTTGTTTTTAATTTCACCATTAAATATAACACTTCTTTTTTAATTATAGAGTTAAATTTCTTTAAGGTACAAACATAAATAATGAAAAAAATTTAAAACTTGAATTATAATAAACTGGAAGTTTGAAAAATATTTTAAATTAATTCGTTTAGTTTGCTATATGGTTATGAAAAGTAAAAAAGGACAAATTCTGCAATTTTGTATGTAATCACATATACTTCACAAGCACTAGCAGAAATCAGTTTGGTATATTACTTTTTTTTTCCTTAGTGAACTCAAGTCGGTTTCAAGTCGACTAAAGTGAACATGAAAAAATCAACTCGGTTAAAAGTCGACTCGAGTGAACACGAAAAAATCAAGTCGGTTTCAAGTCGACTAAAGTGAACACGAAAATATCAAGTCGGTTTCAAGTCGACTAAAGTGAACACGAAAATATCAACTCGGTTAAAAGTCGACTAAAGTGAACACGAAAAAATCAACTCGGTTAAAAGTCGACTCGAGTGAACACGAAAAAAATGAGTTCACTCGAGCTGACTTGAAACCGATTGAAATTTTAGTGAAGTGAAGTGAGTTTGCTTCATCGACTTCGACCTCTGTACTATAATTGATGTTTTGTAGTGCAACTTTTAGCGGAAAAATTTCAAATTATTTACTGACCGTTAGAAAATTTGAATTCCAAAAAAACGTCTAATGATAAAACCTTGCTGTATGAAAATTCATTGCAACAGATTATTAATTATACTATAATTGATTTTTTGTAGTGCAACTTTTAACGGAAAAACTTCAAATTATTTATTGACCGTTAAATAACAAAGCCTTTCTATATTAGAATTCATTATAATTTTTTGTTAATGATGAATGATCTTCTAATCTTCTAATGATCTTTAAACAAACGCAAAATAATTAGATAATCAAATACTGATCGCTGCGTCAAAAATGCGCTGAAGTCCCTCGATCAATAACACGAGGAATTTTGTAATTTTTTCCTAATAAATCAATATTGTAAAATGAATTCAAAGTGTATATTTCCCATTGATGTTTGCAGAGCCTTTTTTACATCAATAAAAATTTATTCTTAAATTTTACTTTAACTTTGTAGCATTTAATGATGTTCTGGAACAAGGAAAAGTCACCCTGCACAAAGATACGTCTTTAGGTACATCCAATATTCATATATGATTCAGCAAATTCACAATTTTAGTTCATTACACTGCAATAACATTATCTGTTTATTATAATACTTTATTTTTATACGAATTTTATTTCATTAAATTAGCATAATTTTAATCATTGCACTTTCCTATCATATTTTTTTAAGTTTTATTTAAAATAATTTTATATGTACTGGTACATGATAATTATTGGTTGAAGGAACTAATGAGATATTTTTCATTCTTTTTTTTCTCTTTCTCTCTCTTTAATCCAATGTCTATTGCTTTTATAATATTTCATAAAATTTTCTATTATTATTTTTGTTTGTCCTTTATTTACGGATGGTAAATTATATTTTGCGCATTCTATTATGATTTATATATCTAATACTTTTACAAAAATTTAAGTGGGTACCAACTTATTATTACTGATTACTCGGCCAGGTATTGTAGAATTAATAATATATATCTATTTTAATGATTTTTAAATAATTATACCAAATAAAATTATGCAACCTAGGTCTTATAAGAACAGAAGTATGCTGCAGTAAATGCCAAGCTCATTTAGGTAATTATATTGGTTTATAACTAAAAATACTACGAAAACTCTTAAGTGGGAGTCAAGTTTTATTAATTTTTTTTCTCTAGGCCATGTTTTTGGAGATGGTCCTTTACCGACCAAAAAAAGATACTGTATAAATAGTGCATCAATTGAATTTATCGAATCAGAAACAATTGCTTGTTCAGAAGATCAAATTAATAAATAAGAGAAAGTTATCTATAAATATTTTTTTAAAAATTAGAAAACAGATGTTATACATATTTAACGTATATATTGTATGTTTAATTGATGTAATGAATAAAGATATAATTTTAAATAATTTTTTCTTTAAGAAAGAAAATGGATTTAATAAAAATTAACAAGAAAATATGTCAAATAATTCGAATTGAAAAGTGTTTTTAAAACTTATTAAAAAAGGACCTTAATAAAGATAGAGAAGAAGAAGAAGAAAATAGATTCATTACTTTAGCTGTTTATAACGTAAATAGACTGACGAATTATCGTGAAGACAGTGGAGAAAACTGAAAAATTTAGGATGCGATTAATTTTATTGTGAATTATTTGAAATTGAATAAAATGACTGAAAAAGCTGTAGTTTTCCAAAATTATAATCAAGAATTAGTAAAGTGTAAGCAATCGTTTTTGTTTATATAATAATATACTTTTTTTTATATTTACAAATAAAATCACATTTGTTTTACTTGTCCAGGTATTGAAGTCCTTAAAAGAAAAAAGCAAAAAATTAAATTGGAGATCGCACAGGATGAAAAGAATAAGGAAGATATAGCTGCTCAAATTAGAGGGCTTCAAGAAAAACAAGAAGGGATGGACACAGAAATTTCAAAGAAAAAGATAACTTATGCTAAAATCAATGACACATTAGGTAATCTTAAAATATTTATTGAACTGTTAAATTAGTAATGTGATGAATGTAAATAACAAAAAGAGGAGTATTTTGTATTTTCCCGAAAAGCAAAATAACGAAAAACAATTTTTAGGAATTTTCAAATTTACGAATGTTCATTTTTACGAAAATTTTTATGGTAAAAATTTATAGGATATAATTTGAATCTCAAAAAACCGTTGGATAAAATCAAATATTGAGACAGTTAAAAGTAATTTAATCATTTAAATGCGATTAGATATGATAAAATAATTATTAAAATATGAAGGATTAATAGAACTGAAAAAAAGATTTGCATTTATTTAAATGTGAAATATTTTTTCTATAAAAATTTTATTTTGCTATAAAATTTTCTCATGGAATTACCCATAAAACAAGAAAAAATATTGCACATTTAAATAAATGCAATTCTTTTTGTAGTTCTATTAATCCTTCATCTTATAATAATTATTATATCATATCTATTCGCATTTAAATGATGAAATTGATGTAAATTGTCTTTTAATGTTTGATTTAACCAACGGTTTTTTGAGATTCAAATTATATCCTATAGGTTTTTACCATAAAAATTTTCGTAAAAATGAACATTCGTAAATTTGTAATTAGTAATAACGGTTATTCGTTATTTTGCTTTTCGGGAAAATACAAAACACTCCAAAAAGAGAAACCTTTTTAGAGCAATCTGATCTTGGACTTTCAAAAATCATCGATTCGTTGCAAGTTCTTTTAAATTTTGCTGCATCCAAAGAAGGGAGTGATTAACAATACAAGTACAACCAGTTTTGTTGTTCAATAAAAACAATAGTATGTTTCAAAATAAACAGTTTTTAATAATTATGATCTGTTGTGAACAATATGGAGACCTCGACGTTTTTTTGACGATTTATGCTCAACGGAAAAAGTGTAAAAAGAGGGTACTAAGCTACTAAGATGCGCGAAGTTCGTTTAACCGCACCATAAATTCTTCAGTTTTCACTTTTATAAACACTTTAAGGATGGCAACTATTTATTATTTTTAAAGCTGTTTCCAAGTATGTTTTAAATTAGTAAAGATAAGTTAGCTAAAGGTTGTGCCTTGTTAAATTAATTAATTTTTTTATAAATTACAACAACAAAGTGCGAAGTTCGTTTAGCCGCACTTTGAAAATATTAAAATTTTGAGCTGTAAACGTTATTTACTGTACTTATTTTATTTTTAAAGCAACAAAAATCTATGTTTGCAGACAGTTCCAGAATTTTCTATTAAATTTTTCACGAGATTTTCCTTCATTTATTTTGTCATACTGAAAATATCTTCAAAATTAATTTTTGATGTTATTTTTCATGAAACTGTAATTGTTTTGTCTAAATTAGGTAGAAAATAATTTAAAGTATTAAATGAATCACAAATGTCTTCATCTTTAATTGGTTTTAGGACAAAAATTTGAGAAAAATATGTTTGAGGTGAAATTTTTTCACCACTTTGTTATAATCATTAATAACTTTTGACAAAACTGTACATATCATATGGAATTTGAATAGCCTACCGTATTTATCATATTAAACTTGACAATAAAAAGAAAACTGCATAGTTCTACGACTAATAGAACATTAAAGATTTAGGTTGTGGTGAAAAATTTCAACATAGAAAAAATAAATTTCAAAAAATTTCATTCAATAATGTTTTTAATGATCATTTTTAATTTTTCTTCTTATGGAAACACTGTTTTAACTTTATTGTTATAGTATGTATAACATTATAGTATGTAAAGCATTTTCTAATCTCCATATCTTTCTTTTGATTTGTCAAATTATTTAAATTTAAAAGAATAATGTCACAAGATTTCTGTTGACTAGCTAGTTTCCATATTTTTTCTTGCACGTTGTGGATATGGTTGCAAAGATTTACATATTCTACGTCCACCAATTTTGGGAATTTTAAGTTGACGTCTCTTGTTTTTAAACATATCGTTTGACAATTTGTATCATAGATTTCCATCATGTTGCTTATAACGACATCACAGTTTACGTTTAGGGATTTGTATGTGTTTGGATGTAGTCTTTTAGAAATTCCTTTAATTGCTTTACTGTTTTCGCGTTATTGTTGATTCGCTTCTCCAGCTTTTGGATTCGATTATTTGATGAAATTTTAAAATCAAAAATTGCTGCTCCTATTAAAAAATTATGATCGGAATATTGAGTTTTTGGACTAGTGAGTGTTACATTCTTAATTGACTCAGATATCAAAAAATTGTCCAATAGGGAACCGATGGTAGAGTCTGATACACCAAATTGAAAATAACTAAATGTTGTCGCTTGATTGCTTCTTTCATATCCATAAGAATGAAACAAATCAGCATAGTTAGGTTGCTAGCGATTTTGTCATGAATATAAACTCATGTTTATGTCAATTTTGAATTCCTCTTGTAATACTATATTGTTTAAAGTTTGATAGGGTATATACTTGGAACTTCCCTGAGGTTTTAATCCACGTCTCTGTTAATAAAATTAGATGGGGAAGTGTTTTATTACATGCTCGACTACTTAGTAAGGAAGTTATGTGATTAAACTTTTTGTCATTGAGGCAATTGATATTCCATACCCAATAATTTAAGTTAAAGAATTTCGCGTTCAATATGTCGCTGTTTAACGTTGCCATTTTTGATATGAATTCTGTAATTGGGATGTTCATTTGCGACATTTGATTTAGAGTATATATATGCGTTTCTAATTTAGTGAAAACAAGTGCATCAAAATTTCATTTTTATTATTTTCCAGTTGGTTGACATGTTTCGAAGTTTGCAACGTTTGTTCATCCTTATTCAGTGTCGAGAGGGTATATCAGCATTCCATTTTATCACGTTCGTCGTCAGTCTCTGCATCTTCTTGAAAATCATTGGATCTACGATCGTCTCTATCCGCGAAATTCATCATAAAATAGTTATTGTCATATAGAGTAGTTGAGCTGACTTCGGAATAAATATCACCCACGATATTTCTTTGACTTGATATTGGACACGAATGCCTTCGGTATGGACGTTCACGAATTCTACTAATTTCAATCTTTTTAATTTCCAGCAGATTTTCAGGAACTCGAGGGCAGTATATACTTGAGACCAGTATATTCTTTCACTGTATCTCAATTCATCCAGTCGATTTTCTTCATCAAGGGCAGAATTAAATGTCATCATCTTTCTGCGGACAATAGATGCAATCTTTTCGTTATTGAATGTGACACACAGCGAAGGAATTACAGATTTATCAGCTTTTATGTGCTGGAAGTTCACTGCTCGTAAAGGGAGAATTCCAAGACGATCAACATCAATGTCCATTCTTTTAAAGATTGTCTTAGTCTCATTAATCAGGTTACCACTTTTTTCAATTGTTCCAGTTCCTTTCCACATGTGAAGGTAATCCATATTTTGTGTAAATCCTTGGTACATGTAGTTTTTGTTTCCATGCTTTGAATCCTGTCTGAATTAGACATGATCATAGTATCTCTTCTTATGTTGCTTAATTCTAAGTCTTTTTGCAGCGCTAGCAGTTTTAAAAGGTTTTGTTGAGTCGTTTCATGAAGGGAGCAGATGTTATCATTATTAGATTGAATTAATGAGCACAACTTACTTATTCACTGACATCGCCATTTTTTAAAGCTAAGGTAACCACATCCTTAATCTCGTTATTAATGTTGTCTTTAATTTTAGGGATGTTCAGCAAACTATCAGCAATTTTAGCGTTAAGTTTCTCAGCCTGTTCTTGCATAATGGAACTAGTTGGGTCAACATCTCGAGGTTCACGATCATCTATGTTTTAGATTTGATTTGAGGTTGTTGGTGTAAATCCATAAGTTGTCAATTTTCAATTCAGATTTCGATTCTTATCAAAGTTATTGGCTGCCTTATTATTCCTGTCTACCTTCGATGCATTTATTCTTTCAATTCGACGTTGAATGGGCGTAGGTGGAGCAGGAAGTTCAGTCTTGTGAGACTGTTGGTATTTGAATAATCTATTCGATTTACCTCGAAGGCTTTCAGGTTTGGTGCTACTTCCCGCCTGATCAGTTTCGTTAATCATGGTAAAATATTAATGATTATAACAAAGTGGTAAAAAAAATTCACCTCAAACATATTTTTCTCAAATTTTTGTCCTAAAACCAATTAAAGACGAAGACATTTGTGATTCATTTAATACTTTAAACCATTTTCTACCTAATTTAGACAAAACAATTACAGTTTCATGAAAAATAACAGCAAAAATTAATTTTGAAGATATTTTCAGTATGACAAAATAAATGAAGGAAAATCTTAAAAATAAAATACCCTGTTTTTTCGTTATAAACTACTACTCGTTATTAAGCGACTAGCTTAGTAAAGTTTTTTTGAACTTAAAATTTTTCGAAATTTTCCTAAGCTACTACCAAAAATAAAGTTTAATTAATCTTTTCCAACTTTCTAAGTATCAGTTTCAATGCCTTATGACATTCTCAATGAAATAAAATCGAGAAGATAGCAAAATTTCTTTAATTAAGTTAAAAAATTCAAAATTTTCATAAAAGTTAAATTTTTTTACTAAGCTACTAGAGAGCCAAAAAATCACTCTTTTATTCTTCTAAGCTACTAGCTTATAACGAAAAAACAGGTTATGTAAAAGATGCTGTCAAATCAAAAGAAATTAACAAAAACTTTCAATTTTCTAATGTGTCAGAAAAATATTGTGCACAAGGAATTTTTAAGCACTGTTTTCAAATCTGAATCATTGTGCACTAATAAAATTTTGCTAAAGTATCGACTTTGGATCAAGTTTTTTCTTAATTAGAGAACTTTATAGCTAATATTTTGATTTACCTTACATGCGGTTCTCCAGATCGATGGAATTTGGGCAATTCTCCAGATGAGTTGAGTTTTTGAAAAAAGAGCTTTTATAATCCAAAGTCATTTACTGTTTACTTTCAATTTTTTTTTTTTGTAAATATCTTGTCAATTTCTTTGTTTTGATTGCTTAAAGCAACTTTAAACTGTTAATTACGATTGATTCTTACTGAATCAACAATAATTCAACCATGAAGTGTTAAATTAAGACTAAAATTTGATTTTTATGAAATATTTGCTTCGCATTTTTTTCATGGATTTGCAAAATAAAAGCTTAATTTTTTTACTGTCAGCAAAAAAATCCACCAAAGAATCAAAAATTCTCTTTAAATAGTAATAATTGGAGTGGGAAATGATTATGGTTAGATAGATTAGCTCAAAAACTACATTTCTGCATAATCATAATAAAAAATGAGTGTTTACTTTTCTTCAATTTTCGATTCTCCGGATGATTATTCCATTTTTTGCTGACAGTAATTTGCAAAAAAAATTGAAAAAACTTAATTATTGGCTACTTTCAAAGACTTAAATAGATAAAATATAATAGTTTTTGCCATTTTACATCGATTTAAATGTTAAAGTTATGCTTGGTAATGGAAAATTTCCGAGAAAATTTGATTCTCCGGATGATTTTTTGAAAAACTTATCTGGAGAATTGCCCATTTTTCAAAATGAGCTTTTATAATTCATTGTCAATTATGCTTGCATCATAAATATATATTCTGCAATTTTTTAAAAATCTAGAACAATTTAAATTAATTTACAATCATCAATATGAATAATTTACTTTTATTATAAATGATGAAATTTGTCAAAAGTGCCGCTTGAAAGCACCTAATTTTGTATTTTTTTAACGGATTAGAAATATTTAAGCTCTTGCGTTGCTTTGTGATATAAAGTTGACGTTCGGTAAAT